TGTCTGAGACACTGATACAAGATGTTTGACAGGTTTGCAATAGCTGCCAAAGCATAAGAGTCAACTTTTTTGTAAATTTTAATTTTTTTGAATTTATAAGTCTGAAATGCTGTTAATTAAGAACAGAAGCTATAGAATTTCACTGCAAATTCACTCCAATACCACTGGTCTACATTGCCATTTGTTAAATTATTTTGCATGTCCACATAGAAAACATAAGTTCATGCAAGGTTTAAACTTAAAGACTTGTCCACTCACCAAATGGAAGTAAAATTTGAAGTTAAGCCAAGCTAATTCAGGGAATTTGTGTCTCCCTCTTAACGTAAAAAGAAGGGCATCAAGTTATCATCAGGAAACTATTTTTACAAGATATGAATTTTTGACCTTGATCCTTTGACCTAAAAATCAATAAGGTCCTTCCTTTTAAAAGTCATTGGGAGTACATGTAATGATATAAAATTTGATTCAAAAAGCTAAAAAAAAAAAAAAAACAAAACAAAGTTATCATCTGAAATCCATTTTTTTTTATCATAACTGAATTTTTGATCTTTGACCTTTTGATCTCAAAACCTTTAGAGGTCCTCTTTAATTCACACAGAGCTATGAATATGAAATTTCATTAAAAGGGCTCAAAGAGAATGTTTAATATCATCTGAAAATTATTTTTGCAAGCATGAATTTCTGACCTTGACCTTTGACATTTTGACCTTAAATTCAATACTGGTCAATGAACACGATTTCATTGAAAAGGCTCAGGGAACATTTGTTATATTAAATAAATCTAGAAATCATTTCTTGCAATACATAAATGCCTGACTTTGTTCTTTGACCTCAAAGTCATTAGGGGTCTTCGATAGGCCACAGGGAGTTTGGATATGAAATTTTATTGCAAAAGCTCAAAGGCTTTTTGATATATCATCATAATCATCCAGAAAGGAAAGTCAGACAACAAGATGGACAGACCCAAATTAACATCCCCCATTTCCAGTGAAATTGAGAGACAAAAAATTACAGTTTTATTCTTGCTAAACTATGCATGCAGTGATCAAAACTAACTAGGTGAATGAAATAGCCCATTGGGCTATCTCATTTTAAATTGGGATAGACCGTCGACAAATGGGTCTGTCCACAAAAATAAACTTGATAAACACGCACTTGTTTTTTGTTCATATGTATTTTTTTTTAAATTAATATTAAAGTATCTGTTATATTTTCATAATAACCTTGTGAAAATAAATATGAAAACAGTGTTCATGCTTTTCACAAAAATCTGTACGATGTATTCAGATTCATCGTATATGAACTTCACTCTGCAAACCAGTTAATGTTTGTGACAGACGCAAACTCTATTATCATCTTAAGCTTTCCTTTTTTCAGATTCTTTTTTTTCCCTTGTCTTTTTGTTTTATTTAGTTTGTGTTTTAACTTTTACGTTCTGCTTCCAATGAAATGGTCTGGATTTGCAGCATGACAGATGCACACAAGAAGCGTGCATTGGATAAAAATAGTACACCGTTCATTTATTGAAAGATGCAAAATGTTTATATGAATAATGAGATATAAAATAATTCTTCTAACACAAAATATAGAAGTATCAAACTGTTTCTCACAATCATTCTGTATATATAAACACATGTTAAAAATATAAAATTTTAATTTTAGTTCAATATCTCATTTTACCCATGGCCAAAATTGGGATAGACAATTTGGCCTGTTTCAATTCGGATTGGCGTAGCCCGATTCAACTTGAGATAGATTTGGACCATCGGACAGGTGTCAATTTCGCACACTGTGCATGGTGCTCTTATATCAGTTTCCTTTAATCAGATGATTAAGAGTCATTGCCTTGCTCTTCTTGACTTGGATAGGACACTAGTCAATTTTTTTTTTTTTTTTTTTTTTTTTTTTTTTTTTTTTTTTTACATTTTTTCTGCTTCAATATGCCATATCAAATTTCTAAACCGAATTGCTCCCTATACATCCATTTAATCCTCCATTATGGACCAAATTGTCTCATGGCCAGGCTATTTATTTCTGGAATCTGTGGGGATACTTTTAACTGAGAAGCACCATATGGATGTTCAGCACACTTATTCCAGAGAAGTTACAAAGGGGGGGGGGGGGGGTGAACATTTGATGAAAAAAAAAATACTCATCAGAGAAACTGAATTTGTTCTTTTTTTTTTTTTTTTTTTAAACAAAATTACATACATTTTTCACTGCAAACAATGATACACAGTATTATATTCATTTTTTACATGTATTAACTTCATAAATCCTTTGGAGTTCAAAAAAAAATCAAAAGCCTGAAAGGCTTCAATGACGTCGAACAAGAAAAACAATTTCAAAAGATAATTTTGAATTTGAAGATAGCGATAAGTCAAGTGAGTGACTCAGGAGACATAATAAAAAAATAGTTTTAAACAAAATATCACAATTACAGTCTGGGGCCTTATGTCATGGTCCGAATGGAGCAAGGTTCGAATTGACCAGACACCGTCGAACATGTTCATGCCAAATATTCTTTTCAGCCAATTATGAACTATGAAGGATTTCATGAATTTATATAATATTTTTTCTAATTGCCAATGTCAAAGCGTTGTATTAGTGATTGCATCTAAACTACAACCAAGACTCTGTTCTGTTACAATTACGATCGAGCGTGGTATACGGTATACTGGGAAATGGAGGAAATGGAGAAATACAGTAATACTGGTCAATATCATCGGTTTTTAGGATAGAGTTGGTTAGAAGATTGTATAAGTAAAGCTAAGATTTAGAAATTCAATCTTTTTAGTCTTGTAGTATTCGTGTTTATGTAATTTTGTAATTATTTTACCTCCTGTTGTGTTGTTTATGTTACACTGTTATCGTTCCGAAATGTTATTCATGTCATTCAACGCACCCTTTCTGTAGAAATTCATCCGCAACAACCATCACGTTTTTCTTGTGTGAGAATAAAACATAATATTGTTGTTTTGCAATAGAATTAATTGCAGATATAATTGATGCAATTTTATTTTCAAGGTTTTATTCATTTTGAGCGTTTTCAAAGAAATTGGTTTATAGCTATTGCTATTTTCTATTGCGGATGCATCGACTGACACATTCGGTCGCGTACATATCCGGTCGCGATTTCAACTGGGCGCTTGCTAGATGACGTTCGAGCTCCAAGAGCTCGACGTCATAAAAATTGTGCAATCTAATCTAGTTTTCTACAGACATATCCTATATTGCATTCAATCTCTCTGAGCAGCAGAAGTCCCATCCAATTAGTGTCATCACATGAAAGCTGAATAAAAACAAAGATACCTTAAAAGGAGGTGGGTGAACATTGCATGTAAAATGCCTATAGCTTCAAATGTACGAAAGTCATACTCAGTTTGTGAATTGATTAAGTATTTAGAGTTAAGTTTTTGTCATTAAAAGGTATGAAATTATAATGAAATTAAACTTTTCTGTGGAAAATTTTTTCAGCAAAAAAATCATTCTAAGAAAAATGTAGTATTCCTTGGGTTCGAACCCAAACAATAAAAATCCTAAGTATCAATTTTCTCTTCGAGACTAAAATGCTAACCACTACACTAAAGTTGCTAATGACAAATACAGATATTTAAATCATGTTGTGATATGACCCTAGACTAAATAAACTTCAAGTATTTCTCACACAGATACCAATTTTGTGTCATAAAAGTATATTTTTAAGGTATAAAGGGTCTTTGCTCTATGTTTTTGTTAACCGAAGAATGTATATTTTTAAGCATACTTTAAGTATAATCTTTCAAAAGAATGGAGTGAAGACCCACTCATGTGGAAAAAACAAGTTTTCGCAGTGTTTTCTCCAGGCCGTTTTTGCATGATGGCACGGTCCCTCACCATGCATCACACATTACCACTATGCTTCCTGCTATGCATGAACTGTTTAAGGTTACTATGCCATTTTTAAGAGGACGATTTACTTAAAATGTAATCAGTTATTAATCTATCAATAAAACAATTCAAATCACCAGAAATCTTGCATGTGCATGGTGCACACCTGTGGTGATGCAAATCATGGTACATATTCTCTTTAGAGAAGTGGACAGCTTTCGCATACATCCACCTCTCTTTGCAAGACTTCATGTTTTGATTCTGGAAAACATGTAAATCTCGAACCGGTGACGACCTGCACTTCAACTGACATTTCATCTAAAATACGCCTGAATGTAGGTAATAGACATGTTATATTAACAATTTTAACATGAATACACACAATTGTCACAAGAAAACTGACCTTTACATACTGTTAATCCATTTTCACAATTTCTCCATCCCGGATTTAAATTATGTGCAAGTAACTCTTGAATGATTCAAAAATCTCTAATCAGGGTTTGATGATCTAATTCAAGTCATGCTTCATTGTCAGTGATAGGGCCGTTTAAACTGCCATAGCATATTAATGATGATCTAGTTGTAGAAGAATCATTCCTTTAATGAGTTATCATGTTTCAGAAGTTAGAGTTGTAAAAGGTAGACAGAGTCGCGACACAAGCTGGTGTCACTGAATTCCCACTTTTCAATATGGTCACTTCTCTGAACCCTCCCCCCCCCCATGAACACACAAGGTACATTATAAATATAAAGCTGGGGTCAGAGAAATCTTGTATTAAGTAGAATCTAACATTCAGAGAGATTGACAGCCAAAAAAAAAAATTACCAGATGTACACGATCTAATCTCTAATAATGCATAAACGGCCATGTCACAACTTAATTATATTTCGAAATAAACTGCACCACCTGCTTAATTTCCTGTAGGTATTCAATGAACAAAATATTGGCTGGATACAACAGGACAGAGAATATTCGCATCAGACATAATTTTGAACAGTCTGCACAGGGAGACATAACAGACCACAGGTTTCAAATACGAAATTGGTTTAAACAATTAAAATCTTTTTTCCTTATATCTAATCTTATAAAAGACTGTATATTATTAAAATAAAAACCCGTGTTTACTTACAAATTCTCCTGTGTATTTTGTTCAATGTAAACGTCATCGTATCTAAAATTTCATTGGTCGACTATTTTCCTAGAAAAGGTATATTGTACAAGTTGTGATTCGAAAAGAAATTTGCAAAAAGATTGTGCATGACATAAGCATGATTCTTTTCAGAGAATCATAGAGTTTAGATAAACATTTATTATTAAGATGAAATCTTTTTAATTTTACTTTAGGTTTCACTTATTTCGAAGCAGTATTCGTACGTTTTGTCCATTTCTGACGCTTCTTTCAAAATGGCTGCGCCCATCAACACAAAAGTGCAAAATTACTAACATGGCTCAAAATTTGGTACAGTACATAGTCGTTCGCAAGGATCTGTTAAAATCAGGATGGCCGACTGGTGCCCTCATTACACAGGCTTGTCACGCCTGTGTTGCTGTCATACATCAGTTTTACGACAATGAGGACACCAAAAAATATCTCAACGATATAGACCGAATGCATAAAGTAACATTAGAGGTAATATTTATGTTGGCATACTTTGTAGGTTCTGTTATTAAGATTTACCAAAACAAAACAAAACAAAAAAAAAACGGATCGATTTTTGAAATTATATTCTCATATTTCTTTTCACATGAATTATAAACATGGTCAGGTGATAAATACTAGGTTTGGCACAATCTCTTGATTTAGCTTTGAAGCTTGAATTATCTATTTAGTTTCATTTATCCATTCAAAAAAGCTTGGTAAAGCTTTTTTTTATCATACTTATTTCAGAAATAATGCATTTTTCTCAGCATGTAAGAAAATTTGCATTTTGGTGCAGTTATATTAACAGGTCCAGCACAATCTCTTGATTAAGCTATATAGCTTGAAATAGCTATATAGCTTTATTAAGCTATTCAAAATAGCTTAATAAAGCTATTTATATGCAGGTTTTCACAAAAATGTTATTTGTACAAAACAGACAAAAAGTCGCAAGTATTTGACTATTCATATATGTAATATGGGTTATCAAGTCAACAACCCAAATCAAAGATAGTTCTGACATTGCAGCATTTGAATACTTTTAAGCAAAAGATGAATTTCCATTGTTTGGGTAACTGTACACTACCTTGTGTGCGTTGAGGCATGGATAAGTATGATTGCTTCTCATTATGTACTGAATTATTACCAATCAATTATCTTGTTGATCATAATTGGCCTCCTTTATAATTTCATTGAAGAAGTAACTGTATTAATTGCTTTACATAGCCCCAAAACTTTTAGAACTTTGAGTACAAAGTCTCTTAAGGAGACGCAGTTTGATGAGTGATTTTTACATGCATTATTTTCATAAGAGTTCAAGGTTGAATATCATCACTGCACCAAGGTGCGACTTTTTGTGCATACTTGGAAAATAACACATTTGAGAAAAAAGTGTGATAAAATAGCTAAATCAAGCTATTCTGGATAGCTTAATAAAGCTATATAGCTAAATCAAGCTATAAAGCTTAATCAAGAGATTGTGCCGGACCTGATTAACTTAATAATTAAGTTACTTTTTTCCCCCTAATTATTTTATTTTTCAAACAAAGTTCAACATATTGTCAAACAATCCATTATATCTTAATATGTTTATCTGTGCCTGGAACACTGGGGCAAGTGCAGTTGTATACCATGAGAAACCTTTACACAGCTTATACTGTAGATTCCTTATTTTCCGTGAGTACTTTATATAGCGAAATGCCTTTGCCATCAAAACACTAGAAAAATAATTCACGAGTATGTGGTTGATCAAGAGATTTTATATGGATTTCAGTACCTTAGAAATAAAAGCGAGTAAAGTTATTTTGCGAGTGGTGCTTCTCACGAAATTATGCTATATTAATTCCTCGCGTATATTTAGGAATCTACAGTACTTTAAACTTTGATCTGCCTCATCAAATTTCAAACCACACGAGACATTCTAGACTGTGAGGTCATATGACATTGTATGCAAGTTGCATTTTCATAACTGAGTCTAAATAGGCCCTTTGCAGTTTTGTAATGAAAGGCATTTGTAGAGTAGAAGCAATTATTTTTGTTTTGATTGATCTCTCTGAATGAACTAAAATCTTAATACATGATAACTGCATGATTGTTTATTCACCATTATCGCATGGAATCCTGGTAGCAAAGAAATTCTGGGAAGGTTTCACAAAAAAATTTCCTTGACAACTTTTATCCAGATTTTCTCTATTCTTACACGTTAGTCTATTGAGCTTGTTTTGTGAGCGGCGTTTCACACCACTTGGTGTGCTTGCTATTAACATGATTCAGAAATTAAGTTACTTTTCAGCTTTATATTAATTGTTCTGAAAATAATGAATGAAAAGATCGTTTAATTCAAACCACATCTCCCTCACTCAAAGTTCAGGGCATCCCTAAAGATGAACAGGCTGAGGTGCTCTGGTCATGGGTATAAAAGCCTTAGACATGTATTATGGTTAAATGGGAATACTTTTAGAAATAAAAAAATATAAAGAAACTGCTTCTTGTGCTTTTCTTATTTTTAGATCTCGTTTTGCATTATTTATTGAACAACATTCGTATTAGTGAATATTTGATTAAAACATTGTTGCCTTTAGAGGTTTCACCAACATTTTATCTACCAAAATTACTGTATGCCTTTGAATTTAGAATTTAATTATTCCATGGTTAAAAATCATCAATTGCCAAAATGCCAAGTTTCTTATTTTAAAATTGAACTACACATAATGTGTTCATGCAGAAGTAAGCAATGGTTTCATCTCATCATATTCTTTATAGGCAACAGATGAAGAGAGTATTGTAAAGCTGTCAGAAACATTGGCCAGTAAAGGGATTGAGCATAAACTGTGGATAGAACAGCCAGAAAACATACCAACATGTGTAGCAACAAGACCTTACATAAAGGAAAACATTCAAGAACATTTTAAAAAGTTCAAGTTATTCAAGACATGACACTGATTTCTTAAAAATTATATATGCATTTTGAATTTAAATTTTACACCTATAATCCTTTGAAATAAATTGAGAACATACAGATTTATTTCTTCTTGGTGTTTTTAATATTTTTTACTCACTGCACGTAGTGCAAACTGTAATCTAAAACACGTATCAGGAAGCACAAAGATTTGCATGTAATCAAAAAAATCTACCATGTCTATTGTAGATTCTTCCTACAATAGAAGATTCAAAATATCATTTCAGTTTTAAAAAAATTTAGAATCTTAAACTGAAAGCAATAAATTTGTTATAACATATTTAATTCATTATGTTGAATTCAACAATTTATAATGAATTAAATTAAATTTGTTAAAACAAATTCTAAAATTTGTTATAGTGAATTAAATTCATTTAAACAAGAACAATTCATTATGTCTATATCAAAAATATTTTTTGATAGGTCAAAAATGGGCTTTCGTAGCTAAGCCATTAATATTACAAGTCCAAGAAGACACCAGCTGATCAATTTGTGGCTGTTATAAAGTGCACATGGGGAAATGAAATGTTTTTTTTTTTTTAAGTTTTGTAAATAATTCTTTAATGATAACATGTATAACAAGAGGCCCATGGGCCACATCGCTCACCTGAGCACATTGGTTAGGAAAAAGCACAAATCACTTCAGTATTGAAAGGTTTAAAGGGGAGGGGGGGGGGGCTTGGATTTTGAACTACCTGAGGATGCTTCCATATCAATATAACAGATGGCTTTGCTGTTATTGAGCAGAAGATTTTTAAAGATTTTTTTTCCTATATATTCCCTTGTTAAAAATTTGATCCCCCATTGTGGACCCTCCCTACCCCCCCCCCCCCCCCCCCCCATTATTTGAACAAACTTGAATCTACACTACCTGAGCATGCTTCCATATCAATATGACTAAACATGGCTTTTCTGTTGTTGAAAAGATTTTTTCCTATATATTCCTATGTAAAAATTTGATCCCACATTGTGGCCTCACCCTACCCCTGGGGGTAATGATTTGAACAAGCTTGAATCTACACTACCTGAAGATGCTTCAATATCAATATGACAAAACATGACTTTACTGTTCTTGAGAAGAAGATTTTTCAAGTTTTTTTCCCCCTATGTATTCCTATGTAAAACTATGATCCCCCATTGTAGCCCCACCCTAACCCCAGGGGTCATGATTTGAACAAACTTGAATCTACACTACCCGAGGATGCTTCCATATCAATATGACAAAACATGGCTTTGCTGTTCCTGAGAAGAAGATTTTTCAAGTTTTTTTCCTTATATATTCCTATGTACATGTAAAACTATGATCCCCCATTGTGGCCCCACACTACCCCTAGGGGTCATGATTTGAACAAACTTGAATCTACACTACCTGAGGATTCTTCCATATCAATATGACAAAACATGACTTTGCTGTTCTTGAGAAGAAGAATTTTCAAGATTTTTCCTATATATTCCTATGTTAAACTTTGATCCCCCAATGTGGCCCCACCCTAACCCTGGGGGTCATGATTCGAACAAAGTTAAATTTACACTATATGAGAATGCTTCCATATCAATATGACTTAACAAGGCTTTGCTGTTCTTGAGAAGAAGATTTTTCAAGTTTTTTTTTCTGTATATCCCTATGTAAAACTTTGATTGCCCTTTGTGGCCCCACCCTACCCCCAGGGGTCATGATTTGATACTGCACTACCTGAGGATGAATCCACAACAATACGATTAATTGTGACTTCGTTGTTCTTGAGAAGGAGATTTTTTAAGATTTTTTTCTATATATTTTTATGTAAAACTTTGATCCCCCATTGTGGCCTCACTCTACCCCTGGGGGTCATGATTTGTAGAAACTTTAATCTACACTACCTGAGGATGATTCCTTATCAATATGACTAATTGTGGCATTGCTGTTTTTGAGAAAGAGATTTTTAAAGATTTTTTGCTATAAATTCCTATGTAAAATTTTGATCCCCCACTGTGGCCCCACCCTACCCCCCGGGGGTCATGATTTGTACAAACTTGAATCTACACTACCTGTGGATGATTCCATATCAATATGACTAATTGTGGCTTTGTTGTTTTTGAGAAAAACAATTTCAAGATTTTTCCTACATATTTCTATGTATAACTTTGATTCCCCATTGTGGCCCCACCCTACCCCCGGGGGTCATGATTTGAACAATTTGATTCTGCACTACCTGAGGATGATTCCATATCAATATGACTAATTGTGGCTTTGTTGTACTTGAGAAGAAGATTTTTAAAGATTTTTTTCTATATATTCCTATGTAAAACTTTGATCCCCCATTGTGGCCCTACCCTACCCCTTGGGGTTATGATGTGAACAAACTTAAATCTACACTATCTGAGGATTATTCCATATCAATATGACTAATTGAGGCTTTGTTGTTCTTGAGGAGAAGATTTTTAAAGATTTATTCCTATATATTCCTATGTAAAACTTTGATCCCCCATTGTGGCCCCACCCTACCCCAGGGGGTCATGATTTGAACAAACTTGAATCTACACTGTGTAATGAAGGTCTCAAATAAGTTTCAACTTTTACAGCCCAGTGGTTCTTGAGAAGAAGATTTTTAAAAGATACCACCAAATTTTCACTAATTCTTAATTATCTCCCCTTGAAAGAGGGTGTGGCCCTTCATTTGAACAAGCTTGAATCTCCTTTACCCAAGGATACTTTGTGGCAAGTTTGGTTGAAATTGGCCTAGTGGTTCTGGAGAAGAAGTCGAAAATGGGAAAAGTTCACAGACAGACGGACAGACGGATGACGGACAAAATGTGATCAGAAAAGCTCACTTGAGCCTTCAGCTTAGGTGAGCTAAAAATTATATAAAATATTTTAAAAACTTCCTTTAAACTAAGTCTAAATTGCTGTTATATTTGTCAATTTTACTTTCATTTTCTCAATTTCTCAAATAAATATATGATCATAACACATCGCTTAATGTTACTTGGAAATGAGATCTGCTCCAAAAACTTTAACTTGGTCATTCATCCAGAAAATGTAGGTCATATCCATATATTGTGCATATATTGTGTTGTCCATCACTGCCCAGTGCAGCATTATTAGTTTGCAGAAATCAGCATCATCAACATGTGACAAACTAATTTATGAATGCACTAATCAGACAAAGTAGAAGATTTTGCTAGTTTTTGAGTGCACTAATCTATATATGTTAACTTTACAGTCTTCTACATCTCTGTGAGTTATATACACAAAAATGATATATTTATAAGGTTTAAAAAAAAACTTTTAATTTTGTTGTGCATCATCAGTAAAACTTCCATAATTTAATACCATAAAGTTCTATCCCACACCACAGTCAATATATGGCTATCTTCAAAAACATCTTATATAAAAGCCAATCCATACAGGAAAATAATTCATGTACAAAAGCCAATCCATACAGGAAAATAATTCATGTACATGCACCAGTAATTAAAGTGTTCACTCTGTATTTTATCCAGAATTTGATAAGAATACTCTTTTTGGGGAAAAAAAAAATTCCAATACACATCAAATTTGTCATGAATAGTTGATTATATACACATAAACAGATAAAATTAAACATGACAAAAATGATAATCAACAAAATTGAAAATCAACAAGTTGAAATACATTGTAAATAAATTAAGCTATAAATACATATATTGCATTATTAACTTGTGAAAATCAACAAATTGAAATACACTGTAAATAAATATACACATATTATTATTAATTTGTACTGAGACTACCATTTCTTACTAGATCCACTCAAAATAGAACAAATTTGATATCATACATGTAATCTTATTTGACCTCTGCACTCACATTGTGACAGTTTCTAAATATCCTTTGTTATATGGCTGCAAAATAACAAATATCATTATATATACACAATTTACTTATCATTCTGGGCAAAAACTAAACTACTTCATTTTTGTGACCATGGACTTTTCCAAATGAACTTGGTTTCATGTGAACTATCTACATGTAATACATAACTCTTTATTTTTACAGTCGTTTTATTTTTACAAAATTGTTAGTTCAATCAAAATTCCAAATTACAAAAAGTATTCTTAGAATGAATATGTTTCTTAATAGTTCAGTGTGACAAAGATTTTTATACAGCTGTGACCATCTTTGTCTATGACCTTAGATGTTTAAAAGGAAGGCGAGATTGCATGAGTTTTTACTACCTTTCTCTTAGACCTTCACTTTTGTCTATAACTTTTGGTGTTATAAAGTGATGAAGTTTAATACTGCGTATCTCCTGACCTTCACTTTTGTTTGGTCTAAGAATCATGATATTCCTCAACCCACCATAGGAAGCATGTAGGCAATACTTGAGTTATTACAATGCCTAAATTTCATTTATTACCGGGTACATGTACCTTTAAACAACAGAATTGCTTCAAGGCCCTGCCCTTCATTGTGGTCAGTGGTTAATAGCAGCTACTGTGTTAAATGTGAGCTAAATTACCGTCTGCATATAACAAAATACAGAATCATGAATCAGGATAGACTTATAAATTGGTGGACATTGGTGTAATACTTATTAAAGTTTATCAATGGTGATTAGTAAACTTATTTGCAGAATCAATGACCAAGAGAAGAATGGGGATAGCCTTGTATCAAAATTTAATCCAGAATGGACAGAAGACACCCATGCACAAATATAGTTTTCTAATTTAAAAAAATCTTATATATCAGTATCAATTTTTTTTAAACTTTCTAACTAAGTGGATTTTGAATGCACTGTACATCCTCACAGAGTTTGACACATAAATGCTAAAACTAGTCTCAAGCACATCAATTTTGCAGCAGCACTTAAGACATGTGTGTCAGTGCCTACCAAAGTAAGGCAAGAGCATGTCAACTACTTTTTGTCTTTCATTTTTACAGAGATTCTGATTGATGAAAAATTCTTAGTCCTAACTAATAGAATTAAAGTGTATGTACAGATAATTTGATTCAAGTTATTCAAATACAATGTACATGTTCAGAAAATGTGATTCCTTTGGATCACAATTAAAATCATCTAAGTTTTTCTGATTGGTAGACAATATGAAATGATTTTATACTGATGCTATATAATCAGTAAAATAACATTATATATTAGATATTTACAAGTGCATACATGTATATAAATTTACAAATTTGTACAATCATGTTTTTTTATGTTACACAAGTAACTTACAAAAGCATTTCTTTTCTTTGGGATCAAGAATTCAAGCATGCTTCAAAAACATTAACATCAGCTGTTCAAAAACTACTTGTATCTAGTAGTTTTAAAGTTTACTATAGCACCAAAAAAAAATTATAGAGACTCGGAAAACTATTTTCACAAGTTTTTACAAATATCTCTAAAAGATTGTTAATCTGTTATTTTAGGGCTAAATTCCTCCTAGAGAAGATAATTAATCTGTCTTGGATGTTTTATCTCCGCATTTTCTTGATCATCATCATGGTTTTCTGCATCATGGGAGCTTTCTGCCTTACAGCTGAAATAAAATGTAACGGGACAAATGAAACTAATTCATTCATTAGAAAACAGTTCTGACATATAAACTAGTTACCAGGTAGACTTATAAAGATACATACATGTGCAGTAGTCATCCCTGCAAGCCAGGGGCTCTGAGTCAACACTTTGCCGTTGGACCCCTGGCATATTTCATTCAATATTCGTCAAATTAAAGCTTTCATAAATAGTTAGATAAGGATTCAGTTGACACCTCAAATGCACATGTTACAAGTTGTTTATCATAGAATGGCTTAATAATATTGGTTGAGAGATAAGAAAAACAATCAAGATTTGTAATTTTTCCGAAAGACATCGCTACAGTCAATCCACAAATATTGAATGAAATATGCCAGGGGTCCAACGGCAACATGTTGACTCAGGACCCCTGGCTTGCAAGGATGGTGCAGTAGTTTACTACTTAAATATGTATAAGTTTGTAAATGTCATAAACATTTCCTGGGGTCACCATGCCCTTGGCTTGTCTTAATTCCCAGCCCCCTGATGATCTTAAGGACCTACCTCGGTACTACTAAATCAAAGACAAAAAAAAAAGAGAAAAAAGTCTACCTTTTTCCTCCTTTTCTTTCCTTCCAATAGCTATAGGATCCATGAGATGTGCAAACTTTTTGGATCTTTCTCCTGATGATGGTCCAGCAGTTCCGTACTTCAACTGTTGTCTGCGAACCTCACGTGGAGGTTTGACGTAACTGTCTACATAGGCAAGTTTAGCTGTCCTTTCTATGAATAAGATTTATAAGAGTTAAAAATAAATTTAAAAATCAATAATAAAGTCTCTTTTATGATTTAATTGGTACAAACAACAATGTATACACAACACATTGCAATGTATCTGTACTTACAGTGGGAAATTGGTCAATTTTCAGTTTTTTGTTGTTTGAGATAACAAGCAACATGACAACAAGATAACAATAATTAACAGCAAATATTACTGTAACATATAAATCATTCCTAATTCTGTGATGGCTAATTGTTAAAATAAGGTCAATTTTTTTTTCAAGTTATGATTAGAAAAAAAAATTATTTCGAAAAAGTAAGCAACTTCATATTTCCACCAATTTTCAATTTGAATCTAAATTTTTCTGTTGATGAAACCCAAATTGAATGTAGGAAATTTTAAAATTTTACACAGTTTTGTATATACAGTTGACTTTCTGTATCTCTCAAATACCTTGGATATGTCGGACTAATTTGCAAGTCCCAACAACTTATTCTTTCAGTATTTTACCCTTAATATCTTGAATCCTCGTATATCTCTAAGTATTTTCTCAGTCCCATCGAGTTTGAGATAATGAGGTTTGACTGTGTATGCAAATCTACAATATTTGACTTGATCAAATTCACACAAAAAACCATTGTGACGTCACAACTGTGGATATAAAAAACGATATCTGATGAGCTATATCCACTGTATAAAGGAGTAAACATGTGATATGCATATACATTGTATTTACCTGGTGCTGCCTTTGCCATAGATTGCGATATGTTATCCTTAATCATTTTAAACTTTCTTTCTTTCTCATCAAACTTCCTCTGAAAATAAATTTCCAAAGGATTTAATTCAAAATTCAGAAGAAATACTACCATATATAATTCATGTACTAAAAAACTGATTACTGGCAAATTTGATAATTCATTTTAAATTTTGATTAAAAACCTCAGCAACAAAGAAACTGCTAACTTATAAGTCAATACTAAAGTATTAGGCCCTTCTGAATTCCTAGCAATCATTTCAGAGTTTAATTGACCCTACTTGGTTCAGGTCCTGTACTCTTAGAATTTTAAATGAAAAAGTGGAAAATGGGGAAATATCGATATTTTACTGCAAAATAAAAGTCAGTAAATTGTAGACATAACCCCTATTCACATCTTTATGAATTATACACCGCTACTTGGGACTTGCTCCAAATACTTTAATTTGTTCACTCATCTGGAGAATGTAGGTCAGATCCAGCATCTGAAGCAAGTCTAGTAGGGAGCATTCCTACATGTAGATACATCAGCCATGCAAGTTTAGTCACCATAGACTTATTGTTATTTTGGATTGGACATTATTCTAAATCTTTAACATGATCCGGAAAATGTACGTTAGAAGCAGTATCCACATTAATGTCAGTGTATATATCTAGTTACCGAACATCTTCCATGTATGTTTGGTCACCAAAGGCTTATAGTAACTTAGGAATGGACCTGCTCTAAAAACTTCAACTTTGTTATTCATGATTAGACCTCTGCATAGAGAAAATGCCCTGAAAACCATTGATAGCAACAACAGGCAGTGCTTCCTGTATATATGAGTTGTCTGCCGTATTTTTATCATTGATCACTTTATACATTGTTTAAGGGTTCTGTACCAGGTATAGTTCACGGTATGTTTCAAACTCGTCCGGCTTGGAATCTCGGAATTCTCGTTCACAGTGTATCTTCCAGAGATGATCGCTCTCCTCCAAGAAATGCTGAAAAAATACAATGTAAAGTACATTAGCTTTTTTGCTGTAATGTCTACAATGATACAATTTAAATGCTGATATCTGTCCATACAGGTATTTTACTTTGAATATCAGAGATTTACTGTATACAGGGTAATTTTTGCCCTTTCACTCTGTCAAATAATTTCACTCTGTTCTGAATTCACACATGCAGGCACAGTTGTGTATTTAAAAGAGATATAACTCTGTTGAATTTGGCCCGTTTTGAATTTGCCCATTGATGATAAGGGTAAAAGGGGTGAAAATACAATGGGGGCAAAAAATTATCAGTATAAAGTAATCAAATATAACTCACAGGGTTGTAGTCTTCTATCCTGTACAGCTGGGCAGGGGTACATTTTTTAAGCACTGGTTCAAGTATGTAGAATGGTACAGAATTACCAACAGCTTCAATACCTAGAAAAACCTTATTGACTTAATGCCTTTATAAATCAATATCAATGTTTCAGGGAAAACCTTATTGACTTAATGCCCTTTATAAATCAATATCAATGTTTCAGGATAAGATTTGTTATGTTGATGCCTACATAATTACATCCTCAGTAGACGTACTGTAGGATCATCACATTTTCTAGGAGTTCAGTTTTCATGGATTTCTGATTTCAATGAAAAATATACCCCTTATACCCACAATTTTACAATCTAAACAAATACTGAAATATAGGTGAGATCCTTTTATAAAAAGATATATAAGCCCACAGAATTACACTGTACAACACCGGGATCTGTAAATTTCAGCAATCCACGCAAATAAGTTCCCCAAGAATTAAAATGACTCCACAGTATACAAGTACTTTAATTTGAAAACACTGGTTTTCATGATAAATATTTTTATCCAAGGTGACTCTGTTACTGGTACTTGCATTCATTCAACAAACTTTTCGATACTTTCATTTTTAAAAAAAATTACCCAGTATGTACTCTTCCAAAATCTATTACAACTAGAAAGTCAACTTGACAATGTAAACTTGGATACATCATTTCTTTAAACTTGACAAGTCTACAATATTTACTGTCAATGTAGTTCATAAGAAGATTAATGCAGATTTCCTGAAGTGAGTAGACTTTTGGGACAGCATTATTCCTCTTTCCTGAGTACACCTGGGTCTTGGCATAGCTTTTCTGTCCAATAAGAGAGTCATCAAACTGAGTAGTCGCAGATGGAAGCTCCTCAAAGTTGCGATAGGTGGTTGCAGCATTATTACGCATGAGGCCAGCAAGGTCTCTTTCAGAAAGCTTCAACTATATTAAAATAGTTCAGTACACAAAGCCTTTATTTATAAATATCAAAAGACAAATCTTTCTTGGCATGAAAAAATCCAAGTCCAATACAGCATTTTTAAACTAGATAGCTGAAGAAAGTTACATCTATATCAAACACTGTTCTTACCTTTGATCCTGGAACAGGAACCTTCAATTTATCACTGCTCTCTGTCTCCGGTTTCACACTCACTAACTTCTCATTTCTGGGTTTGGATTCTTTAGAAGCTTCTCCCTTCTTTTTTATCTTAAACTTGGATTTAAGTTTTTCATAATTTGGATCAGCTTTGGGTTTTTTGACAGGGATAGCAATACTTTCCTCAAAAGAAACAACCTCTGTGCTCTCTGGATTGGAACGAGACTTTTTGGATTCTGATTTTTCATCCTGGTCATGCTTCCGTTTTCTGTTTTCTCTGTCATGCTTGTGACTGCTCGATTTTGAACTAGAGTTTGACTTTGATTTATGTGATGAATGGGGCTTTGAATCACCCTTTTTATTCTTTTCCTTCCTCTCTTTATCATCAGAATCCTTTCTCTTCTTATTAGAATCTAAATACTTTTCTTTATTTGAATTATCTTTTTCCACTTCCCCTGCAGATCTTTCCTGGGACTTTTTATCTGAATTGCTAGAAGGAGCTGAAATTGGAGGTCCCATGTGATATTTACTCAGGGCCTCATTCAACAGGGCTTCATGGTCCACATATTCATCATTAAAAAAGAAACCTCCAGGTTCCTCGTCCATCTCCACATCAGAACTCAGCCCGTCCCACTGACCCAACACTTTGCTTTGCTTTTTATCCTCTTTATCCTCCTCTGAATTCTCACTCTCACTTTCAGATAATGTATGCTTTGACCTTTTGACATCAGTTAAGTCTTTATCACTAGATTTACTACTGGAATGTTTTGTATCACATCTGATTTTATCACAGTTATCTAATGAATGACTAGAAGATTTCTTGTCATCATGGTTTTTACTTTTTGAGCCACTACTAGAATGCTTGGCATGATTTCCTGAGTGACCATTGTCTGAATGTCTACTGTGGCTTGTGTCCTTACTACCAGACTGGCTATTAGAGTGCCTACTCCCAGACTGTCTACTTTCACTTTTATGACTTGAAGAATGTCCATGTTTATGATCGGAGTGTTTACTATGGTCTTTACTAGAATTTCTGCTTTCAGAGTGCTTAGTCTCTGAGTGTTTACTTTCCTTTTTACTTTTACTATTAGGTTCACACTCTTTAGTCTTGGAATGAGGTTTATGAATCTTGTTATTTTCCACATTCTTATCACTTTTCACTTCAGATTGTTCAGTAGAAGATTTCTCACTCTTAGATTGTTTATAATCAGTACTTGAAGACTTTTTGCCATCTCCAGATGATTTTTTTTTACTTTCCTCTGACTTCTTTTCATCCTTTTTTATTTTTTCTTTGCTTGATGAATGTCGACCATCTTTCTCTTTAGAACTATACCTGTTTTCTGACTCACGGTGTTTTTCTCCTTTAGCCTTACTATGTGAGGACGATCGCTGTGATGAATGTCTATCTGTTCTGTGTTTGTTGACCTCTTTGTTTCGATATTTCTCCTGAGGTGACCTTATTTTCTCTTCTATTGGACTGTCATCCTTCTCTAGATAATAATGCTCGGGACTTCCTCCATTATTTTCCTCCTCTGGGCTGGAATTAGATTTTTCTGAGTCAGAGTGAGCATTCTTCTCCTCCTCTTCTTCTTTAGACTGTACACGAGCCACCATAGCCTTCCATTCTGTGACAATGTCTTTGGCAAGAATTCCCAAGTCCCCACCTTTTTTTCTGAGTCCATTAACAACTTTTCCAATTTTTGTCTTCTGTTCAGCATTAAATAAGAAATTTGTTTTCATTTCAGTATCTTAAGATGAAGATTTAGGATTTTAATTCTGATTCAATTAGGTACACAATCATGTACTGTACTATTAATAGCACATGCAGAGAAAGTAAATAAAACAAGAGGCCTAGGGGCCACAATGCTCACATGAGAAAACTATGGCCCTTCTGTTCTTCACTGTCCTTCTTATGTAAAACTTATCACTTTTTATGGCCCCACCCTACCCCAGGTTTCATGATTTGAACAAACTTCAATCTCCACTTTCTAAGCTTGCTTCTGTATAAATATGACTAATTATGGCTTTGCTTTTCTTGAGAAGATGGTTTTTAAAGATATTTTCTATATATTCCTATGTAAAACTTTGATCCCCTGTTGTGGCCCCACCCTACCTCCAGGGGTCATGATTTGAACAAACTTGAATCTACACTACCTGAGGATACTTCCATATTAATATGACTAAAAATGGCTTTGTCATTCTTGAGAAGATGATTTTTAAAGGTATTTCCTATATATTTCATTGTAAAATGTTGATCCCCTGTTGTGGCCCCACTCTACCACCAGGGGTCATGATTTGAACAAACTTGAATCCACACTTACTGAGGTTGCTTCTCTATTAATATGACTAATAATGGCTTAGCTGTTCTTCTTAAGAAGATTTTTTTAAAGGATTTTTCCTATATATTCCTATGTAAAACTTCGACCCCTGTTGTGGCCCCAACCTACCCCCCGGGGGTTATGATATGAACAAATTTGAATCTACAGTATGTAATGAAGTTTCATCTTTTCTGGTCTTGTGGTTCCTGAAAAGAAGATTTTTTAAAGATGCCACTAAATTTTCATGAATTCTTAATTATTTCCACTTGATTGACTTGAAAGAGGGCATGGCACTTCCTGTAAACAAATTTAAATCCCCTTCATCCAAGGATGCTTTGTGGCAAGTTTGGTTGAAATTGACTAAGCGGTTCTTGAGAAGAAGTAAAAAATGTGAAAAGTTTATAGATGACAAACAAAACACAACAGATGGATGCCGGACACTCTTCAATCAGAAAAGCTTACTTGAGTCTTCGGCTCAGGCGAGCTAATTATCAGTTGAAGTATCTAAAACCTTGTATGAATACTCATTGTATATAATAAACTTTTTTTTGTATTACATACCTGCAAAATATCCACTGTGATAGGGATGTCTGCTATCTTAAACAATGTTTCTTGTAACTGTAACGAGAACAATATTACTACAAAAGTAACTTGCAAAGAATGTCTTGGGCATGATGCAGTCAATAGGAAGCCCTTTTCTTTCATTTCTAATCGTTTCCATACCAATATTTCTGTAAGGCAAATCATGCACTATTAAAAACTAGATACATAGCTCATTTGTCTGCATCATGGGTAAAAATCATTTCTAGTTGACCTCATTTCTTAAAAAAAATAATAATAACAAAACATGTAACAATTTAATCTAAATCTTAAGACTTGTAAATACAACAGATATAAAAAATCAAAATCATCTGTGATTTTTCTCTCAGTAGGAGGACTCTTTTCTTCATCTATCCCTTAGGCTTGTTTGATTGATATTTCGATTATATTTTATATAATACATGCAATGAAAATACTATATATTGTATATATAAATAATTTCTTAGAGGTATTCATGAATTAGCGCATCGTTGTCTGCGCCCTTGGCATGGTCAAACTGGGGTCAACCGCCTTAAGGCACTTTTTTCCCTCTATGACATTACCAACTTTATGGGGCAACGTTTTACAAATGAAATCTGTATGAGTATGTTCATTATTTTTTTTTATGTTGCCCCATACTATAGCAATTCAGGAACAGATCAAAATGGTCCAGTAGTGTTGAAGGTTGAGAATATTTACAGGTAAGTAATAAAGGATATAGTGAGAAAAATGAGTGTTATGCAAACAAAAGGAGATAACTTATAAGAATGTGAAATTTGTCTATTCTTAAATACAGATAACAATAAGGATTCAGAATAAAAATGATATGAAGATAAAAATACAATGCAATACAATTAAAGTTGAAGATGAACACAATTTTCTTCTTATATTTTCCCTGAATACTTTTAAAACTCCAGATAATTACACATTTGCCACTACATTTTTTAAATTGAGTTTTGACATGTTTCACACCATGAGGTACATAAACTGCAATTGGAGAAACTGCTACAGTTTGATTTATTAATCAGTGTAATTTTATTTGAGCAGTGATCATTATGAATGATTTCTGAGTTAAAACTGAATGCATATGCCATACTTAGATAGAATGTTCTATCGTTAAAATGATAAATGCCCTAAGGACCCGGTTTAACGATAGAATGTGTTCTATTGTATTGGCAATGTAGCAAAGCAAAGACAGGCGATTACTCTTACTCAGTGCATTTACTATGAAAAATCCAGAGAGTTCCGAATGTCAATATGGCATGTAAATTTGAAGTGAGTAAAAAACGTTGAGAAAAAGTGTTGAATTCTTCTATTATGTGGATTAAATTTTTGGTTGAAAGGTATCCACAATCTCAAAAAGGTTTGTTATGATTAATTTGATAGTTATTTTCAATGCAACTTAATTTATTTCTTCCAAAATCATTTCCGAACAATTCTGCAATTTTCTGCTATATTGCAGGTATATGGGAGGCACTCTTACTGTGGCGAGGGCCTGTCTACAACTTTATATCAGCCATGCTGTAGTGAACGAAAACGAAAGTAGCCTGTCAATGAAGTGTAAACATCCCCATCTTCAATGCACGTGTTTCATAATTTCGTCTTTAGGATGCTCTGTTAAAGTTGATTTCTCATTGTTATTGATAGAAAGAACAATTCTTCATGACTAGTGTATTATTAAGTTTTTTGTACTTTAACATGTTTAATTTAAACAATATGGCATATGCCAGAAATCCGGAATTGGAGACGATCCAAAATTGGCGACTTCACTAAAATCTTCTTTTAATATGTACATGCACATTGTATATATTTACATTAATTTCCAGTGCCTGTGATCTAACCAAGTTCACACGCTAGGCCTAATCGAAACTACAAGTCATCAGTTAAATTCTATGTTAATACTAAGCCTACCTTCTCTTCATCTGTGCTGTTCTGTAAGCGGGACTTGTATCTCAGAACTTTACTCTCGACATCATCTGGCATATGCCAGAAATCCGGAATTGGAGACGATCCAAAATTGGCGACTTCACTAAAATCTTCTTTTAATATGTACATGCACATTGTATATATTTACATTAATTTCCAGTGCCTGTGATCTAACCAAGTTCACACGCTAGGCCTAATCGAAACTACAAGTCATCAGTTAAATTCTATGTTAATACTAAGCCTACCTTCTCTTCATCTGTGCTGTTCTGTAAGCGGGACTTGTATCTCAGAACTTTACTCTCGACATCATCTGCCATCACTGAAAATCACCAGCTGTCACTTCAACGACACCTGCATTTGATTTGTACCCGACCAAAAAAAAATTACCGGAACTTAAAGGAATGTGCATAGTATTCAAAATCAACAGGATAACATTTTCCGGGAGAATGCAAGGTTCATAGAAGTAATATTTATATATAATTATTTACTACTTTATTTCTGCAATAATTTTTAAACCCATAGTATAAAAATGTGTTATTCAGTTTGTTATTAGGTATGAGTTAAAAAGAGTTTATTACAGAAACAAGTGCCTGTGGCTCATATGCTTCATGTACATGTACTTTTCAGTACAACCACTTTTTCGGAAAATGGCAAATGTATATTCATATTACGAACTACAAAGGTGTCTGAACCAGGGGGCTGGGGGGGGGGGGAGGACTTAGTTGAATTCGATATATAACGAATTGTCATGGCAAGAAAATTTAACTCGTCCGGTAAAGCTTTGGCTTGAACTCAATAAAAGTGCAATTAACGCCGATCACTGAAATACCCCTGAGAGTGATTCGAGACAACTGATGGCAACACCTTTGTGAAGTGGATCTAAAGTTCTTCACATTCCCTTGTTGAAGTCAAAACTTCTAAATGTTATTAAATATCATTTTTATCATTATCAAAGTTTTCTTTGTCAGGTTTTTCTCTTTTTAAAATGCATATTTGGAATTTGATTTATGCTAGTCGTATTCAATTCAACCCACAGAAATACGTTTTTGAATTTTATGCCTATCATTTCAAGCAGTCCCGAGTCCGACCTTCCCTAAGTTTTTTTTCCCATATTTATAAACAGTCTCGCCTTTGTAGGTCTTATCTGTTTCACAGACTCTAAACTGATTATCTTAATTCATATAAAATATGAAACGACCCAAATAAGAAGTTTATCAGAAAATCGGCATTTTTATTTTACACCAATCAAATTACACAAGCTATTTTCTACTCAGCACTTCTTCCCAAACAAACAAAAATGTCCACCGTACCCGAAGTTTATTAAGGTCTTCCGTTCCAACGGAAGACCTTCTACTGATTCTGATGGTTAAGATTATTATTCTTTTTTTTTTTCTTCTTTTTCCTAGACGCCAACTTTGAGACCTCATATCTCGCTCATTTCTCAACGGATTTTGCTAAAATTTGCAGAGTTTATAGACGTTACAAAACTCTATCAGAATGCTGTCAAACAATTCAAAAAGTCACTTCCGCTTTTGAGTTATTGCCCTTTAAATGAAAATTTATTAGGCTTCATTTCCAGACAAAGGCTCCGAGACTACAAAAGGTGGAGCAGAAATTCTACCGAATTTAGATAATAGAGGGATTGAAGTTGTGCACATCGGTTTTTGTTTTTCGATTTCTGTATTCAAAATGGCGCTAATTAGGGGTCAAAATTTAGAACGCCTAAAAGAGCGAAAATTTAGACATATTTTCCTTTGTATCTTTAAAACTAAAAATATTTTGATAAGACATGTAGAATAAAAGTTGTGCACAATTTCTAGGCCTTTCATTTGACACCACTAAAAAGGGGCTGGTCCCTCAAACTAGGGATCTGGAGCCCTTTAAAGTTTTTGCTTTATAACTCAAAAACGGTAAATATTTCGAAATGGCTGTCGTTAAAAAAGTTGTTCTTTAACATCTTACTGATTTCATGAAAATGTTATTTTGTTCGAGTCTTGTGTTTTAAATGCGCCAGAAGCTTGACCCATATACAGGTAACTGTTTTAATTCAGCAAGTAAACGAGAGCTCTTCATGCGTGTAATTAAAATAAACTTACTATAAATAATAAATCTGGCTACATTAGATGCTAATATTCTTTAGAATAAGGTTCTTGAAGTGTTTTGTGCTTTATTTCCAAGTTATTTTTTGACAACTTTTCGTTTTATTTCATTTTTTTCAAAGTCGAATAAACCAGTCTACTAAAAAAAGGGGAAAAAAGATAACCTTTTCTTCTTATCATATAAAAACAAACAATATACTGAGAAAATAAAACATAACTTTGAAGCATAGACTATTTACAGCCATTAAGATTCACCTTGTGTGTTTACAATTATGTAACACCTCCCTCGATAGCGCGTGGCAAAGGAGGTCACCGGGGATCAATCGGCGTGTGTGATCCAGCGACCTACATGTAGTCATACACAAAACAAATCATAGAATGGCCATTCCAAATTCATTTTGTAAACTAAGTCATGAGTGGACAAATATGTTGAATCTTTCAGATTATTTCATAATATCTTTGATTAAATCGCTAGTGCATTTTATTTAATATTTTATTCGCTGAATTACAGGAAAGTTGCATAGTTATTTTTATAAACAATTTATTTTTCGATATCGAGTTAATTGTCTGTTTTATTCATAATAAAATTCAAAATATGTAACCTTAATTAATTCCTACTAGTAATGGAACTTTTGAAACTGAAATGTACATGTATGTAATCTAATATACGTTCTTTTGTCGACGCCCTTAAAATGTACAACTGTATATATACAGAGCGCCCCAAATATATGCATATCGAGCGTATGGAAATACAAAATCCCACATTCACACGCGCCTCCAAAATATGTAGAATGAGACATACATGCGTAACTGTATTTGAATATTACAAATTTATTAGACACCTAACCTTGAACAATTTTTTTTTTTCTACTAAACTTGTTATTGTATGCGAACAAAATGATAAACATGTAATTATTTATAGGTTCCCATTATTTTTTCTGAAAATCAGAACACATTTATCAGTTCTCTTAAGGTTTTACGGATACATACAATGTACACGCATGCAAGTACAGAACATGCACGTTTTATAAGTGCATATGCAAGAGCGCCCCAAATATATGCATATCGAGCGTTTGAAATTCAGAAAAATTCTAAATCCCAAGTCTTTTTTCCCATTATCTTTGCAATAAAATATCGGTTAAACTGAAATGATTTTATTGATTTACAGCATATATTAAAGTCAATTATAGGTCCGCTGAGTTGATCATGAGTTGTTTTCATAACGGGTGGTCCTCCTGGCCAGTCATCATCACGGTTTGTAACATCGTAATAACACAGGTAAATACTAAGATGTCAATCCATATATTTTCCATAAGAAATGAATTACCGGGAGATGTCTCGTTTTCTCTGATCATATATTAATTGACAGCGTTTATGAACAGCTGTTAAAACACAGGCCTTTGTATACCAGTAAATCACAAAAAAGAAAAATCCGAGACAAAAAACAGAAAATAAAAATGTCTCTGGAAATAACATTAATTGCCTTTAGATAACTAAAATAAACTAATGTCCGCCGATTTTTGAATTAATCTGAACATTCATTGATGTGTACCTGTACAAGCAGTGTGTATATTTTTTTATGAAGCCTTCGTCCAAACGAACAATAATAATAAATCTTGAATGAATTAACTAACCCATCAGTACACACACATACGCCTACACCTGAAATCTAATCAAAATCAGATCTTTTTTACGGCCCGAAATTCTGATAGTCGCTGTATTTCTAATCTGATTGACTATACATGTGCAGTACAGGCAACGCGGATCCCGTATTTCCCGCGCCCCGTCGCGGTATAAACACATTTGACCAGGTGAGACAGGTAAACCGCGTTCCCTCCGCGGGAAATTCATCACCTACCTGTCCCCGCCGCGGTTAAATCATCGATCAACTAGTATCGTAAACAAACGGGAGTTATCTCCCCGAACAGGAATTTTGCGAAATTCCCTCTTTAAAAAAAACAAATTAAAATCCCGCAGTGTATGTACATTTATGAAAGTATTTTCTTTTATTTCGCAAAAGGTGAAAATAATGAATGAACAAAAAAAATTTAAATTGTAAAGCAGAATATATTTAATCGTTTTTTATTTTATTTTATTTATTATTATTAATTTTGTTAAGTTATATATTAATACTAAAGCGACATCTTTTTTTGAATAGTATCAAGAAAACTATTTATAAGCTGAGTCATTTGAGAGTTTAACGTGACAAATTTTAATGTCGGAAATATAAGTTCTAATAACTACTCTTTTCAAATTATATGCGAACTGCAATGTTACATACACGTGCTAAACAATAGTCAGTGCGAGTTCCGATTAACAGTTTCCAGCATTCCTATGAGGAAAGAAATATATCTATATACTGTTCATGTTTTGTTTTGTTTTTTTTTTTTACCAAGTTTAGAACAATATAATTCATTTAAATAATTTCACTTTACTGTATTAATGTGCAAGCATTTCCCTGAAATTGTCGAATGACCGGAAAGCTGTAATATTCCATCGTGAGCGTTTGCAGTGAGTGGGCGCGTGAACGTTATAAAAGATATCAATAAAATATAACAATTTTTTTCCCCTCGATATTTACTTCTTTTGTAAACAGTGGTTTGTTTTTAATTTAAACATTTCTCCAATTACAGAAGATGGAATGTGCATGGTGATGAACTTCACAAAACAATTAAAACGGGGGGGGGGGGGTATATCACTAAAACTTATTATTCTCAATAATACTCAAGAAAAAAATCAATGCCAAGTTTACTTGAATATATTCTGTTTCTTTGTGTATTAAGTATTAGTCGCGATCATTTCCTGTGTATAGGGATTAGCAGAGCAAGAGCAGGAAACGGTATGCCCTAGGGGTTTCACACACCTGTCCTAGAGAACCTGTGGTAAATTTCTCTGCATGTGCAAGGCGTTGTCTAGCCATACAACACACCAGTCCCTTCAACGTTTCATTATTTCATTATTTCTTCATTTTCAAATGTAACTACAACCATGAAAGTTATGCGAGTCAATATATACTTTTTTTTTTACCCTGAGTGTATATTAAAAGGAGAAAGATCAATCAACTTTTAAAACAAATTAATAGAGTTTAAATGAAATAAAATAGATCAAATTAAATTATGTTTTATTACTTTTTTTTAAATGCCGACGGGCTTGGTATTTATGTTTCTGTTTAATATATATGTACATGTACATGTACATGTATTATGTAAGTAGAATGTAAAATAATAAAAAAAAAAAAACGTA